TTAGCGAGTGGACCAGGCTGCCCAGGGAGGTGGTTGAGTCACCAGCCCTGGAGGTGTTTAAGAGATGAGTGGATTTTGTGTTGGAGGACATAGTTTAGTAGGTTGATAGGGCTGGGACAAAGGCTGGACTCGAAGATCTTCAAGGTCTCTTCCAGCTGAAACTATTCTATGATTCTGTGATTCTGCATTGTAGTTTCTTAATGTCATTATGATGTCTCAGTGAATTTAATGATACTATTTTTAAGAGAAGTATATGCTTTTGGAGATTCGCGGCATAATTAATATTTTTTTCTCATGTTGTGTCATTATAAAAGTTATCTAAGGTAAGCTGAGTTTTGGTCATGTGTCAGGTACCAGGTCATTGACCTTGAAGCAATATTGTACATATTTTTTTAAGTTCTGGCAATACTGTCTGGAAGTAACAGTAGCTACTTGGCACACTTGAATGACTAATATTTGTAGAATCACTAAGGTTGGAAAAGACCTCCAAGATCATCAAGTCCAACCGTTCAACCTAACACTACCATGACTACTAAACCATGTCCCAAAGTGCCATGTCTGCATGTTTTTTGAACACCTCCAGGGGTGGTGTCTCCACCACTTCCCTGGCCAGCCTGTTCCAATGCTTCACCACTCTTTCAATGAAAAAATTTTTCCCAATATCCATTCTAAACCTCCCCTGATGTAACTTGAGGCCATTTCCTCTTGTCTTGTCACCTCTTACTTGGGAGAAGAGACTGACACCCACCTTGCTACCAGCTCCTTTCAGGTACTTGTAGAGAGCAAGAAGGTCTACCCTCAGTCTGCTGTCCCTCTTCCTCTCCTCTCCTTACCATATAATGATTTCAGAAGTATTTTTTTAACTCAGCAATGATATTCTTTGATATGTGGTTAAGTTACAATAAAACAAATGGTGTATGTATCTATTTTCATAGGTTTTGCTGAGAACAACAGCAGGAGATATAGATATAGAATTATGGTCAAAAGAAGCACCAAAAGCATGTCGGAACTTCATCCAGCTTTGTATGGAAGGTAATGACTGAATGAGAGAGGAGTTGCTGAAATTATTTCATACGCAATCTTTACACCTTTTTTTTTTGTAAAACAGAGATCATAACTGTGTGTTAACTTTAATCTATTAACTAAAAATTTAAGGTTATTTTTCTGAAGATGACATAGTGGGTAAACCAGAGATCATAACTGTGTGTTAAATTTTTAGTTAATAGATTAAAGTTAAGGTTATTTTTCTGAAGATGACATAGTGGTACGGAAAAGTTGTACGTCACAGGCTTGAAAAGACTTATTTTCAGCCTGTCTCTACAAAGTGTATCGGCTTCTTTAACATATTATGAAATGGCACTGATGCAGTCATAGACTTCCTCCAAAATTCTTATTTCTGTTTCACCATCTTTGCTACATTTTTTTCCCAGGGGTATAGACATATGGCTAACTATATATGTGAGGCGTTGACTGGGACAAAGCATAGGAGTTTTAGCGCTCCTTTTAAATAGATGTACATTAGTGGTATCATTCCAGTGATAAAACTTAAAAGCTAAAAATAAAATAATTAATCAGTATCATCTTGTCGGTGATGTGCAATGCCTTTTGCAACAGAAATGTATGGCACCAGCTTTTGTTTTTGTGGAGTTTTTTTGTCAATGTCATCAGCAATACTTTGTAGCCGAGATACAGTTGCAGTGAGCAAGACAGTAGAAGAGGAAGGAACCCAGTGCAAATAGCAGAATCCAGTTACAGTACTTGCTTTCTGGAACTTTAGTATCTGGACATCTCTGTATAATCTAGATGAAAGTTTGATTTTGAGACCACTTATGTATTTAATATCCTCTTCTTTTTCTTCTTTTTTTTTTTTTAGAGTATTACAATAACACAATATTTCACAGAGTAGTGCCTGGCTTTATAGTACAGGGAGGTGATCCTACTGGTACTGGGTCAGGTGGAGATTCGATCTATGGAGCTCCTTTCAAGGTACATATCTAAATATCTTATGCCTTAATTTTTGGTTATTCTCTGTCAGTTGTTCTTCCTACTAATGTTATGATAAAACAAACCTTAGAAATGCAACATTTCACATGTACAGTAATTGCACTTACAAGTTGCTTCATTATTTTTGAATATGCTAGTTATATTTGAGAGTTCTTAAACCTCGCAATTCTGATATTATGGTAAGTGTGTAGCCTCACTAGCATGGACTTCACAAGGGGAAATGAGTGGATCATCTCTTAACCAGGAGGCTCAGGTCCTGTGTGAAGCTACACAACTGTTCTGCCCAGTTGTTTTATTTCAGATGATGCAGACATCTTTAACTCGTGACTGAAGTTTCATAGCCTGTCTCTGGGCCTTCCATACATCTGTAGCTAGAGTATATGTAATGTTAGCAAGAAATCATGGAAGGAATTGGTACCTGAGCAGAGAACAAATGTTGCCAATGCTGTAGTAGCATCGTTGCTTAAAATCAGTGTTCAGAATAATGATACTACCATGTTATTAGTATATTACTCATCACTTTCTTCGTGCTTTGATAGTAGTTCTGTTCTGTCTTATGATCCCTAAAATGTTCTTCCTATGGATTTTTACAATGCTAATGCAACCTGTTATTAAGCTTTCGGTTATTTTACATGAATTGGGATTTTTCCTCTAAATACAGTGGTTAACAAGAGTGATAGTTTTACAGAAAGTATATGAAATGCAGCTACTTTGAGAAATGCTTTGCATTTTCTTAATATTGGGGGCGATAATAAATTCCAACAGAAATAATGAATAATGATTATTAGGCAATGATTGGAAAACGAGAAAGTTAATAAAATGGAAATTAGAGTTTTTATTAAATCGTGTCCTATTATTGATATAGTAGTTTCTAATTTTTTTCTTTTGGTGCTTGTTGCTTATGTACTTATGATTTCTTTTTGGAACAAGATTATTCACTTGTTTGCATTATTATAGACACTAAGAAGAAAAAAACATTGACTAAATTATCTTTTCTGCTGAAAAGAGATGCTCTTAAGTACAATTGTGGCATTAATTTTCAAAAGACTGATTTTATTATGGTCTGAATTTAAAAGAAAATTAGAGGATATTTTTCTGTGTGGGCATATTGATGTAAGTAAGTCATAGCTGAAGAAGTAGTTACATACTCAAATCATGTTCTTTTCTTCTCTGTCTTTGACAGGATGAGTTCCACTCACGATTACGATTTAATCGAAGAGGACTTGTTGCTATGGCAAATGCTGGGCCCCATGATAATGGGAGTCAATTTTTCTTTACACTGGGTCGTGCAGATGAACTTAATAACAAGCACACAATCTTCGGAAAGGTCTGCTCTATGGTCTAGAGTCTCAGTTTGAGTTTGACAGAAGCTACTGTAAATTTCTCTGTATTCAGAGGCTCTTTTAGTGTTGTTAGCTGCTGCTTAGATTTGAAATTTATTTCACTGCTTTCTGAGCAGTTTCTTTGCTTCTCGTGTCTGGTAGAACCATTTCTTTGGGTTGTTGCTGTTAATTACCTACCTTGCTCTTATTCTTCTAAATTATATTTTTGTGTTGTACTTACTTTCAATAATCTTACTAGTACTATTATGGCTTGGTCTTATTAATCGGTTCATCTAATACTAGTGACATTTTATAAAAATCTGTTTGTAAATGATAATTCCCCAAGAAGAATCAGGTAAATGAAAGATATGAGATCAATTTAACGTACTTTACTTGAAAGTAAATAACTATTTTGTTTTTTATTTCACAGTGTCTCTTGTTTTTCTGTTTCACAGCTCACAGTAAAAATTTGACATATTTCCCTGCATGTGCTCTGAAAAATGCAGGTTTAGCTACCTGTACTACTTCATATTTTGCTGTTAAATTGAAAAAAAGATCTAAACCTTTTTACATTGTATTTGCTCTATTTTGGAAGTCTTACATGCTTGCAGTATTTCCTATATAATTTATGACTTCAAAACTCTTTACATAATAATTGCCTTGCATTGTGCAGAATGATTAACAAAATTTATAGGCAAAGGCTTTAAAACCTTTCTTATATATTTGACAGGTTACAGGGGATACAATATATAACATGTTGCGCCTGGCTGAAGTAGAAGTTGACAAGGAAGAGAGACCTCTCAGTCCGCACAAAATAAGAAGTAGTGAGGTGAGTATGTTCTGGTTTGAAATTTGAAATTTTAAAACTGTTTCATGTGCAGACTTCAGAAAAATGTGTTCTAGTATAAAAACTTGGCATGTCTTTTTGCATATTTTTTAAAATATTGAGTCATTCAAGTGTAACAAAATACTTATTAAAGATATATCTAAATTATTGGGTTTTTTAACAGGTTTTGTTTAATCCTTTTGATGACATTGTTCCAAGACCGAATAGAAAGCTGAAGAGGGAAAAACCAGAAGAAGAAACTAAAAAGTCCAAAGTAAAAGGCACAAAGTAAATATATGCAATATAAATCATGGTTAATTTTCTTTCACATTTAATTTGCAGCTTGGTAATTTTCTATTTCTGCTTTTGAAACTCAAGGCTTTTACCAAGATGCACAGGAGGATGTTCTCTCATCTTAGCAAGACCTGCTTCCCTGTTTCTGAGAGATCATACAAATTTAGTTGCTTTCAGTGAAGTGATTGCTGTGCATGAGCTGAGTTGTAGCTGTTTCCTGCATGCTCAGGGTTTGTTGCAAAAGAGAGGTAAAAGGTAGCTTAAGCCTTTCCCATGTGCAATCATTTTTTTGCAAGGGAGATGGCACTGAAGTTACTCTGTACTAGTAAGTAGGTCATAGCTCAGTTGTTTGAGGTTTTTGAACTTATTTTATCAAGTACTACTTCTCTCCCACTAAAATACTTAGTATTTTGACATGTGAAGTTTAATTTTTTTTCTGTGAATGAAATTTGATAGTCATAAATATGCAATGAAAAGTAGTAGTTAATCTCAGTCAGTTCTGGTGGACAGAAATACTGTCTGGGACTGACTAGTTCCATCATAGTATAAACAATTGATCTTTTTTTTTTTCAAAATTATTATGTCTTTTAATTACATTCTGTGAATGTGTATGCATTCGCTGCCTTTGTGAGATGCTATATATTGAAAATGTTGTGTTTGGTGCTTGAATGTTGCCCTGCTGGAAAAAAAAACCCCAACAAACGAAAACAGTGCAACTGCTATGTTTTCAGAGCTGTTAGCATTTAAGAAGTTAGCACAGCAACTGCTGTGTTTTCAGAGCTGTTTGCATTTAAGATAACAGCGTTTTCAGAGCTGTTAGCATTTAACAATCTGTGAAAGTTAGTCAAGGCAGAATTTCTTAAATTCTATCTTGAAATTTTCTAAGTGATGCTTAATTATCCTTATTGCTTCTCTAAATATTCATGGTTTGTTGCAAATTGGTTGTAGTTGTTTGAAATCAGTGAATTTAGCAGGACAAAATGTTTTTTAAAAAAATCTCATACAATAGGAAAGTAATATGCTTTAAGTTTATGGAATGTTAATGAGACAGTATTTAAAGTTTTACTAGACAATGTGTTTTGTCTCTTAAAGAAATTTTAACTTACTTTCCTTTGGAGAAGAAGCTGAAGAGGAAGAGGAGGAGATCAGTAGAGTTAGTCAGGTACTGTACTAAATCATCCTTATTTTTATTTTCAATGTTAAATTACCTTTTTTACTTGTTTGTGACAAGCTTTAAAGTTCTTGTACTTGTTCTTATGTTTGAGTTTTGAACAACACTAGAAATTACTTCAGTTTTTCTGATTCTGCTATTTTAACATCCTGAAAAACCAGAAATTTTTAGTTTTTCTAACTTGGAAGGTGCCTTTAGTTACTGCATAATGTTTTTACATTTCTGTGAAGATCAGTTTTCACGTTTCATAATGCAGATCTGTGCTGTTTGAAATTCATCTCCTTAGTTACAGAAGTGTGATTTGGTGGTACTTGAGGTTTGAAATAGATCAGCTTCCTCATTGCCTGTGCGTTCTTAGCTCCATTTTCGTATGTCTCTCCATTCTGTGTGCAAAATGAAGTGGGGTTATTGTGCGAAAATAGAGCATTATCATAATTAAATGTTGCACTATTTTGAATTGTCCCTGTTCACAGAACTAGGGTTGCAGGGGTAGTCTTTGATATTACATTTCTTTACCCGACTTTGCTACTTAAATAAAGTTAGTTAAAAAATTTCTTTAACACATTGTCATTCTCATTTCTGCTGTTGACCAAATTATTTCTCTAAAGCCCTAGATTTTCCTGCTTACTTGCACAGTTCAGGTGCCTACCTGCTTCACTTAGTGAAGTGCTGAGTCTAGTATGACATAATTGAAAAAATGGTCCTTGGTCCTCAGGATTTAGTTAAATATGGAATACAGCACTGAATGGTGATGGACATTATTACAGTGAGATGGTATCAGTCAGAATGATTGTAGAGGTTTATCACAGCACTAATTTTAACTACTTTTCTTTCTTCTCTCAACTTACCAGTCTAACTAACTAGTTTACCTCATCTATAGTTCTGCTCTTGGTATATGTCTCATTTTTAATATTGCATTTAACTAAATTTCTCTA